GGAGGAACCCCGCCGTGGGGAGCCGGCGGCGGCGGCGGCACCGGGCCAGCCATGGCACGGGGGGCCGTGCAGCTGGAGATGGGCGCCTGGATGCTGTCCACGGTGGTGGTGGCAGGTCGCACGCCCTGGGGCTGCTGTGGGATGTCCCTGCTGCCTTGGCTAAATGGGAGTGGGCCTGAGGGGCCCATGACAGGGGGTCTGACCGGGACAGTGGCAGGGAGACCACTAGGCATGACCCCGCCAGGGGAGACGGGCTGCCCCAGGCCGTAGGTGGCACCGGGGGTCCCTGGCGCGGGGCCAGAGACCGCCATGGGCATGTGCTGTGGAGAAGATCTCTGGGGGGCCACGTGAGGCCCGGCGTAGCCTGGCTGGACGGGCACGGGGGCAGCGCTGGAGTGCGCTATGCCTCGTGCCAGCGCGGCCCCTGGGAAGAGCTGCGGGCTGGGCGAGGGTGCGGATCCGGGTCGTGGCAGGGCCGACTGCGGGGTCGAGGGCTGCATGAGCGGGGCGGGTGGCCCTGGGGGCCCGCCGTATGTGGCAGGGGGGAAGGGACCCTGCACCGAGCCCATGGGCATGCCGGCGGGTGGGGCGGGCACCCTCCCGGGGAGGTAGTGCCCGGGCAGTGGGGTCGAGGCTGGGAAGTGGCCAGGGGCAAACGGGGCACCGGGTGGACCGGCCAGAGGGGGCTGCAGGGGGGCACTCGCCGTGCGGCCAGGACCCACAAAGACATCTGGGCCGGGGGCCCGGAGGCTGATGCCCAGGGCAGGGTTGGCAGCGAAGGCGGCTGCGGTGTCGGGGGGCAGGCGGGAGAAGTGGGCGGCCAGCACATCTGGGGGCAAGCTGCGCAGCTCCTCGGGCAGGTCAGCCAGCGTGAGGGAGCCCAGAGATGGCAGCTCTGCCCCATCCAGGCCGCCCGCTGCCTCCAGATCCATGGACTTCTGCAAGGCGGGCTTGGGGGCTGTGGGCCGCGGAGGGGGCTTCTTCTTCATCTCCCTGCCAAGGCAAGGCCACACGGGGCCGTTGGGATCAGGCTGGCATGTACCAGCGGGGTCTGGCCCTGCTTACCCACCCTTAAATATGGGGCTTGTAGACAACGTGCTGCCCCACACCCCTCACCGAGCCCTTGCTTGATTTATCTGCCCCCCACCCCGAGATTAAAGCAGGGGTGAGACTCACTTCTCCAGGACCTGCTGGCGGTTCTGCTCCGTCGCGTTGCAGGCTGCTCGGGCCTTCTCAAGGAGCTTGGCCGCTTTGCTCTCCAGGTCAGTGTAGAAATCCTTCCCCTCCTGGCACTTCTTCATCAGGTCTTCGTAGGCCTCGTAGGACGCCACCAGCGTCTGGACAGTGGTGTTCCACCTGGAGACGTGCGGGTACAGGATGAGAGGTGGGGTATGGGAAAAGCAGGGGGTGGGCACGTAGCCCCCAGGAGGTCTGAGTATGTCACACTTTTGCCTTGCCGTGGAGACAACAGCACATGAGAGTTGGAGATGTCAAGGAGGAGCACGTGGCTGGTGAGACCTTCTGCTTTAACCGGGGACACTGCTCCCCATAGAGAGGTCTCTGCGAGCAGATGGCAGAGCAAAGTCTGGTGCCACCCACTGCTCCCCTACATTTCAGATGCTGTCACACACGGGCAGGGGGAGGCCGGGGATCACGGACTGCAACAGCACACGCTCATCCTGGTGAGCGGGTGAAGGGTTAGGAAGGCCACATAGGAACAATGCGGGACCCTCCAGAGCCAGTTGTGCAAGTGCTTCTAGGATGCACCAGAGCAGGAAGTTCAGTCTGAACCCACGGGTGGGCACGAGGGACATTCCCAGCCCCCCCATGTCCCAGCTGAGAGCCCCACCATCTCTGTGCCACTGTTCTCACAGGCTCCGGGCACACCTGGGGCACTGCAGGCACCCTCTGCAGGAGGATGCAGTGTGACCAGAGGACCCAGCTGCATGCACACCCACTGCCCGCACTCACTTGTGCTCCACCTCGGCGAGGACCTTCCGCACGGCCGCATACTTGACGTTGGCGTCGGTCAGGGCTTTCAGGATGTTCTCCTGGGCAGCCAGGTTCTGCTCCAGGTACACCTTGATCTGGTCATATTTCTTCAGTTGCTCCTCAAAGAGTTTCTGCTCGGGGGGAAGAGTAGAGGTTGGAGGTCACTAGTGATGGGGTGGGAGGAGAGTGAGCCTGGAGGCTGACCACAGAGCCTGCGATGGAGCCTGTGCAGTGAGTAAGGCTGCGGCAGGAAGGAGGCCAGGCCTGGCCTGGATTGTACAGCCTGTGGCCCACTGCAGGAGACCTCTGCCCCAAGCCCTGGTCATCTGTCCCAGGGACATGGCATTCAGGTCTGACCAGTGGCTTCAGCTCTCTGGAAGGAGGTTGAACAGTGACAGACTGGACACCTGGAAATAATTTCTTTGCTGTTAGAGCAGGGAAGCAGTGGAAGAGATGCCCCAAGAAGCTGTAGTCTCCATCCCTGGAGATATTCGAGGAGAGCCGCTGGTCAGGGATGATTTAGGCATAACCTGTGCTCATGCTCTCCTATGAAGACTTCCCAGGCTTCTGGGCTCTGCTAGTTGCCCTCCCCTTCTGCCATGTGTGGCAGGGTGATTTTTAAGCCTTCCTCTGTTGGCTGCAGCCCAGGCTGGGGACTTTGACTGGGCTGTGCCAGTGCTCCTGCTGGGAGCAAAGCCGCAAGTTCCTGGCTAGAGGGTCTTGCCCCTCCACTCAGGGTCAGACCTCAAGAAGGAATTTCCCACCCTGGTCAGATTGGTACGGACTGGGGGCAGGTTTGCCTCCCTCTGCAGCGTGGGTACGGCCTCTCCCTGGGATCTCTCGAGCACACGTTAACCACCATTTACAGCAGAGGACGTTGGCTGCCGTGGTCCCCCCGCCTTCCCTGTGGCAGGTTTGGTTGCGATGCTTGGTGCTGCATCAGGGTCGACAGTAGTTTTACGAACAGTCTGGACCACGTTTTTTATCCAGCGGGCCAGACAGAAACTGGGCAGGAACATGAGCAAAGAGAAAGCCCACGAGAGGGGTAGATTCACACTGCATGCCTTCAACTCTCCTTGGCCAACCCACCTGGCCTTGTGCTGGCCTGGGAAGCCCCACTCGCCTCCTGGCGCGCCTCACCTTCATCTCGGAGCGGTCTGTGGTCACCAGGGAGGTGGTGATATCGTCCTTCTGGATCATCTCCCGCAGCTGCTGCTCCAGGGACGTGCGTTGGTCCTTCATCTCCTGCACCTTGGACAGGATCCGCTTCAGGTTCTGCAGTGCCAGGTTGTCGTCTACAGGAAGAGGAAGCAGATGGAGAGCTGAAGGACGCTTGCCAGTGCCAGCCTTTGGACTCCAAGAGCCACAGGCCGCCCAGCTCCAGGGCCCATGGGTGCCAGCAGAACCAGGCTAACTGGTACTGGGGGAAAGCTGGACCCTTTGCAGGTCACAGGCACCATGGGGGCCCAGCTGGCTCATGTTGCTCCCACTAGACAGGAAGGATCAGGATCACTCCCCCAGCCAGACAGCACTAGTGCTTGCTGCTGGCAGCAGGTACATCCTCTTCCCACGGAGCAGCTGCTGGACACAGACCGCACCGACTTGGCAGGGGTGCCCTGCCCCTTGCTCCTCTTCCCCTTAGTGCTTCAGACCACGCCAGCTCGGGGCTGAGCTCACGTGCCCTGCACGCCCCGTTGGCTCATACGGCAGCCGAGCGAGTTGTTCGGCTACAACTGAGCTGCCTCGAGAGCCCGACGTCACGGGCACCTCTGGGGCACTTAAGCAGTGGATTTCCCTTGCTGTTTGCTGGGGAGGGAGAGGCAGAAGATGGAGGAACAAGGGAGAACGTGCCCGTTTTTCTGCAGGACCCTGGCACTGGCTCAGTCTCAGCCCTGCAAGGAGGTAACTGGGGCCAGGCTGGGTCAGGCCAGCACTTCCAAGCAGCTCAGAGCTAGCTGCCCCTGCCCAAGGAGGCATCACTCACCTTCAGTGAGGGCAGGGGCAGGCAGGGCAGCCCGCACCTGCTCCAGGGGCCCGCTCAGCAGGCGCAGGTTGCCGATATGCAGGTTCATGGCCTTGTGCAGCTCCGTGTTGGTGAAACTGGCCTTCTCGTGCACCTCCATGTACTTGGTCCACTCCTTGCCCACCTCGGCCAGTGCGGGGGCCGGGGCAGGGGGCGATGCCTGCTGCGCCGGTGGCTTCCCCAGAAGCTCCTGCAGTTTCTGCTCCTGCGCCTCGTCCTCATCCAGCAGGTCACGGATCTCCTTCAGGGAGGCCTCCACGTCCGTGTAAACTCCCGAGAGTGCTGAGGGGCAGAGAAGGGGTGCTGTTACCAACTCCAGAGCTGTTCTGGGCAGGATGCCACAAGGCATCAGATGGACGACCAGGCCTAGATTGGCAGATGGGGGGCCCCCCCACAAACACCCGCTTGACCCCAGGACTTGCACTAGCCCTCCGCCCAGCCCAGCTGGCTACCACCTCTGCTTCACAGGCAGGAAGACAAGACAGAGGAGACATGACTTGAAGCAGAGGACAGGCCCCAAGCATCCCGTTGCCACCCTTGTGCTCTAACCCCCAGGCAGCGCCCGAGCACTGGCAGGCAGCCCCGGCCCCTCACCCTGCATGGACTGCACCAGGTTCTTCACTGTGTCTGGGCGCACGCTGAGCGCAGCGCACTTCTCCATCAGGACCGGGGGGATGTGGCTGTACATATCCAGGTTGTCCACCGTCTCAGGGTCCAGCTGCAGGGAGTCCATGAACTGGCTGTGAACACAAAAAAAAAGTGCTTGAGACCTGCCTGGGCTGCGCTGGAGAGATGAGAGCGTCAGACTCCGGTTTCTCGCAAGCCGAGGACGTGGGCGAGAGAGAGGAGCTGGAAAGACCCCAGCGTGCCCCGCAGAATGGAGACTGCTACTGGCGTGTGCTCCGCCCCAGACACGGCTGCAACTGCTGTCAACAGCACATGGCACCGCGGAGGTCCAGAGGGAGCAAGTGCTGGGTGAGTTCAGGGACTGTTGCTCCTCGGCTGGCTGGGCCAGTGGCAGGGTTATCCCCTGCCCATCAGCACAGGCCAGGGGCACGTCACAAGCTGCTGGTGTTGTGTGCGCTCCAAACTGGGCTCCCTGGCAGCACCGTGACCAGCTCTGATGTAAGGGCAGTAACTACACCAGGGGCTTCCAAACTGCTGGGGCCAAGGCACCGCCATCAGCCCTGGCAATTTCCAGCACCATTTATCATGCTCCGAATCGCCCTGGGGCAAACCACACAACAGCATTTGCCATGGCAGACCCTCCCCACGCAGACCACAGCCAGGGACCTATGGACCTGCACCCTCCCTTAGCCAATCCACCCAACATCTCTCCTCAGGCCTGACAGGGCCACAGCCTGCAGCACTTCAGCCACAAGGGAATCCCCAGCTGCCAGTTGGCCGGGGGGCCGGGACACAGCTGAGCACACTCGACTCGACTTGCGGGGAGGGGTCACCCCTTGCCAGCTAGGATGGGGGAAGACCGAATGATGGTGGAAGGGGTGAGCACGGGGGAGGTGGGTGGTCCCAATTTCATAGTTTTAGGGTCGGAAGGGACCTAATAGATCTTCTAGCCCGACCCCCCGCCAGGGCGGGAGAACAACAAAAGAACCCTAAACAAAAAACGGGACTCAAATGAGTCCAGCCAGGTAAGTATCCAGCCTCTTCTTAAAGATCCCCAGGGTAGGGGCCAGCACCACCTCCCTTGGAAGTTGGTTCCAGCTCCTAGCCGCCCTAACTGTGAAGTAGTTTTTTCGGATGTCCAATCTGTACCTCCTCTCCATCAACTTGTGCCCATTACTCCTTGTTATGCCAGCGGGGGCTAGGGGAAACAGCGTCTCCCCCAAACCCTTCTGGTTCCCCCTAGTGAGTTTATAGACGGTCACCAGGTCCCCCCTCAGCCTTCTCTTGTGGAGGCTGAATAGGTTCAGGTCCCGCAGTCTCTCACTGTAGGGTCTGCCCTGTTGTCCCCGGATCATGCGGGTGGCCCTCCTCTGGACCCTCTCCATGTTGTCCACATCCCTCCTGAAATGGGGCGCACAGAACTGGACACAATACTCCAGCTGCGGCCTGACCAGCGTCGCATAGAGGGGGAGGATCACCTCCCTGGCTCTACTCGAGATGCACCTGTGGATGCACGACAAGGTCCGGTTAGCCCTGCCAACCATGACCTCGCATTGTCGGCCCATGTTCATCTTGGAGTCAATAATGACACCAAGATCCCTTTCCGCCTCCGTGCTCTCAAGTAGGGAGTTCCCCATCGTATAAGTGTGCTGCTGGTTCCTACTACCCAAGTGCAGCACCCTGCACTTGTCCGTATTGAAACACATCCTGTTCCTGTTTGCCCACCCCTGTAACCTATCCAGATCCTTCTGCAATCTCTCTCTCCCTGCTAGCGTGCTCACCTCCCCCCAAATTTTGGTGTCATCAGCGAATTTAAACAGGTTGCTTTCCACCCCAACATCAAGATCGCTGATGAAGAAATTGAACAGCGCAGGCCCCAGGACCGAGCCCTGGGGGACTCCACTACCCACCTCCCCCCAAGTCGAGTATGATCCATCCACCACCACCCTCTGAGTGCGACCCTTCAGCCAATCTGCAACCCATCTGACTGTGTAGGCGTCTATGCCACAGTCGCCTAGTTTATTAATTAGGATGGGGTGAGAGACGGTGTCAAAGGCCTTGCTGAAGTCCAGAAAGACTACATCCACCGCGACACCTGCGTCCATGGCCTTTGTGACCTGATCATAAAAGGCAATCAGGTTGGTCTGACATGATCTCCCCCTAATAAATCCATGCTGATTGCCCCTGAGCATCATTTCTGATGCCGGCCCATCACAAATGTGCTCCTTGATGATCTTCTCCAAGAGTTTCCCCAGGATCGAGGTAAGACTGACGGGCCTATAGTTGCCCGGGTCCTCCCTTTTCCCTTTCTTGAAGATGGGGACCACATTAGCTACCTTCCAATCGTCTGGCACCTGGCCCAAGCACCACGATCGCTCGTAGAGCCGTGCCAGGGGCCCTGCAATAACCCCAGCTAGCTCCCTCAGCACCCTGGGGTGGAGAGCATCCGGACCCGCTGACTTGAACGCGTCCAGCCCCACTTGAACGCGTCCAATTAAATGCGAGCGCACACGTACTCCAGCACTTCGTTCTTGGCCTCGATCTTCACCATCACTTCTCGCAGCAGCTTAGCCTTCTCCTCACTAGGACAGAGAAGAGAAGGGTGCTTAGCATGGGGAAGCAGGTAAGGGAGGGAGGCGACCCCTTGCTTGATGCCCTGCTGCACTCCAGGCTGGGCCAGCCTTGCCCAATGTGCTCCAGCCCCTCATCAGCCCGGCTGGAAAGGAGCCGGGAGGCAAGCGCTGGAGAGAGGAACAAGCTTTCCAAGGGTTGTTCTAGCTACACTACCAGGAGAGGCACGACCCACTCGGGAACCTCTGGTTAGCACTGGCTCCTACAATCCCACCCGCCGACCTGCAGAGTGGCGTAAGCCCCTTACTGCCCAGCCCCATCAGTTGGCATGAAGGACCCACACCGCCACCCCTGCAGGGAACATATCCCCATGGCAAAGCCTGTGACACCTGCAGACTGGGAACATCACAAGAAGTAACGACCCCCAGCCCCCCTCATGGCAGCTGCAGGGGAGCCTGCCTGGGGAAGCGCTGGCTCCAGGTCCCCCTCCGCTCACCTGTACAGAGAGGAGGCTTCATGGGCAGCCATGGGCACCAGCTTGGCGAAGATATCCGGGCCCGTGACGGCAGGATCGGTGGGGTTGACGGGTAGGGCCTTCACCAGGGGGGCACCTGGGTTCACAACAGACATGGCTGTCATTATTCTGTCCGAGGCAGCAGCACAGCCCCTCGTATCCCCAGTGGGCAGAAGGCTGCCCGCCACACTCAAGCAGACCGGAGGCCCTCTAGTCCAGAGTCTCATCTCAGAGGGTGGCAAGTCATGAAGGCTTTGGAGGGAGAGTATCACAGAGTACACAGCAGAGTCCCCAGAAGCAACTGATCCCACCAAGACAGTGTTTCACCTTCAGAAGGAGGCAGAACCTTGCTGGCAGAGATGCCACTGGCAGTAAGGGGTTAATGAGGGCTTGGCCCTGTTCTCTACCCTTGGCCACACACCGCTGCTCTGACATGTTCCCATCCCTTCTGCTGCCGGAGCAGACCGAGTGCTAAGAGCGCCAGACCCATGCCATGCCCAGCCCCTCTCACCTTTCACAGACTGCAGGGTGTCCAGAGCAGGGACGGCCTCGTGGAAGATGAAATCGTTGTCTTTTTTGGCCGAGTTATACCTAAAAAACCCCACAAAAGTGACTGTCAAGGCTACAAGACCACGTGTTTGCTGCCTCTGGGAGGCTGAAACAAGCACTGCCATCTCTGCTCTATAGGCTGGGCAGTCAATGGGTAGGGATCTGCCTGGGGAAGAGGTAAGAGCGAAGTGCATACAGTGCTCACATTGAGCAACGTGGAGCTGGAAGGTGCAGACAGACAAGAGGCAATGGTGGGAAAGAACCCGTGGCTGCACCTCGGCCTCGTCTATTTAACACACACTGAAAATACACAGCTCCCCAGAGCCAGTCCAGGGAGGGAAGGGAGGGTCTGCCAAAGACTGGGCCCAGAGCGATACAGAACAGATAATCCAGCCACGACTTGTTCAGCACTCACTTCCCCCCGATCACGTCCATCGCGAACCTCAGGGCTTCTTGGACGGTTTCCGGCTGACCCTAGGAGAGAAAGCCAGAGTTAGCTGTAGTCACCAGCACCCTGCGGGGGCCAGTTTTAGTGTGGTGCCCCCTGTTATCTGGAGGGGATATGCACACTCTGCACTGCTCGTGTCCTGAAGGGCCACCCAACCATGGAGCACAAGGTTTTTAAACACAATCAGCACCACAGAAGCGGGGGCAGGAGGGGGAAGTACCTTCGCCAGTTTGATGGCTTCGTTGAGTTTATCCAGAGCACTCTGGAAGTAGACGACCTGCAGAGAGAGGCAGGGTTAGTTCTGCCTCACCCCCCTAGGAACAGAGGGGCCCAAGAACACGAGACCTGCCATGGACTGGGTCAGATCATAGGTTCAACTTGCCCAGTCTCCTGCATCACACCGCAGCTGAAAGCAGATGTGGGAAGGGAGAGTGACCTAGGCATGCCCATGGTTCCCCACCCCCGTTCTTCTCCCACTTGCAACCTCCAGCATTTGAGATCTAGGAAGCTCCGATTCAAAGGCTGTGCCCCTCGCTCCTGTGCTCATGCCCTTTTCCTCCAGGCATGCATCCAATCCCTTTCTGAATCGGGCTAAGCGGTCAGCTTCAACCACACCTGGTGGCAATGAGCCCCACACTAATTCCATGGTGTGTGAAAAAACTTCCTTGTATTAGCTTTAAACTGACTATTTACTAGTTTCATTTTGTGACCCCTCATTCTCTTATGGAGAGAGGTGGTAAAGAGCAAATCCCTATTCCATCCTTGGAGGTATTTAAGACCCAGGTAGACAAAGCCTTGTCTGGGACGGTGTAGTTGGGGCTGGTCCTGCTTGGAGCAGGAGGTTGGACTAGATGTGACCTCCTGAGCTCCCTTCAACCCTCATTTTCTAGGATTCTGACTTTCTCTTTGTCAATTACATTTTTTGTAAGCCCTTACCACGTCCCCACGAGAACAACAACAAGGCAGCCTCGCTGCAGTCAGTCCCCAGCATAGAGACACTTAGGACAGTCCAGTTTTAAGAAGTACAGCACAGCTTTCTAAGACAAGAAGGCACCAAGCAACCAAACCTAGTGGAGGTGCCCAGCCCATGAGACAGCCATGACTATGCCCTAGAGAAAGGATGTAGATGCGGGCGCTGTGACACACCACCTAGTACAGAATAACACAGCTACAGCTGTCGTGCATGATGCTCTGCCAGCTTGGTTTCTACAGCTAGTGTTGCCACTTGGGGAAATATCACATGCTGCAGGGGAGCCCGGTATCTGGGAATGTCACATGCTGTAGGGGACCCCAGTGTCTGGGATCGGAGGCAGCTCACCATGCCCACACAGATTCTTCTCTGACACCAGGGTCTGCAACTTGTATTGCTGGCATATACATACGCCTTTCAGCTTTAACTCTCGTCCCTCTGCCCAAGGTCAGCCAACAGCCACTTTTGCAAGACACCAGGGAGAACAGAAAGCTTGGCTGGCTGAAAGCCCGCCCAGGAACAAGGAAGGTGGCGTGGCAGTTTACAAGGAGTAGGAGAGACTGACCAGCCTGTGTGTTCCAGCTCGGGCGCTGGTTCATGACAGGGAGGTGCTGCCGAGATCAATTTTAACAGACCCGTGAGTCGCCGCGGTTTCAGCACCATGGACAGACGCACGCGCACACTGCAAGGACGGGTCCTGCCAGGAGGTGAAACCCGGTCCCTGAATGGCATAGGCAAGAGCTGCTCTCAACAGCTCCCACACTGCTGATTCAGTCAGTCTGTAAGGTGCAACTCTCTACCCCTTCTGTGAGGCATTCACCAAGCAACAGCAACTGGGCTCTACTTACTCGCTCTCCAAACTTCTGCTGCTCCTCAGCCTGTTTTCCCATATGCAACTGCAAAGAAACACACGCCACGGATGGTAAGCAGACAAGTTCCACCGGATGTCCCGGGGCAGGGGGCGGTGACCGACGTCCCCCCAAAAGGTTGAACCTGGCCCAGGGAAATCCCTGGCTCACAGCTGTCCCCACTGATCTCACCCCTGTGCTTGCTCTTGCTGGAGAATCTACCCGTGCTACAGCTGCTGGGGACAGGGATGGCAGCAAAGGTAAGAGCAGGTGGCTTGGATACTCCAGGGGCAGAGATCTGCAGCTCATGGTGTGAGCTGACAACAAAAGGTTGCTGACCCTTGCCCTAAGGAAAGGTTCAGTGGCCCTGTAGCACCCTGTACTTCACCTGTCTCCAAGGACAATCCTGGCTGTGGGGAACCACCATCGACAACCGAAGGTGGAGGGAGGCACTTCCCCAGGTGCCAAAGAACATGACATTCCCAAAGTACAGCCTCGTCTCTCCCACTTACGTGAGCTACAGCCGCGAAGTAGTAAATCTTCATCTGCACTAGCTTCTTCCAGTCCTTCTGGATCTTTCCCAGCAGCGAGGCCGTCTCGGAGTTCTCCAGTGCCCGGCAGGCCTCTTTGTAGTAGTCTACCACCTGCGCAGGGAGAGGAGGCCAGAGGGAGCATGAGTGGGATTCACAGCAGGGCCAGTCCCAGGTCAGACAGGAGCAAAACCACAAGGCAGAGAGGGGGCTCGCTGGAACGCAGCCACGTGACTTCATGGTTACTTAGGCAGGGTAACGAGCTGCTGACTGGCAACCAGACAGACCAGCATGGCCCTCTCCATGCAAGCACTGGCGGGTATATACGCCGACCACACAAGCTAAAGCGTAAGTCCAAAGTAAATGCGACCCTGAGGCCAGGCTGCCCCGAGGTGCCCAAGTACTGTGATCGTCATGGCTTTCTGCAAGCCCCATCTGCACTGGATTATGGGGTGTTCACACAGATTCAAGCGACTTGACTCTGGGCACCTTTCTCTCTAACAAGTTCCTCTCGCACTCAGTGGAACTTGGACAGATCCTCCCAACTCTGCTGCCAGCAGAGTCAGCTCAGCGAGTGGCAGCGAGGCCTCACAGGGATATTTTCCATTCCTTCCAAACCCCCTTGACCCAGGGTTGAAGACTGCAGTGGATGCTGATATGGGGCAAGGGAAGCATCTGAAGCAGTCCTGGTCAGGACAGCTACTGGCATAAATGGTGCGGAGCCTGGCACAGCAGAGACAAAAGAGCTGGAGTGTCAGCGCCACCCCCATCCCCCACCTGGGCACTGATCCTGGCCACGAGGAAGCTCTTCCTGTTGTCCAGCATAGACTTTTCCAGGAGACACTCCTGAGCTTGGCCCTTGAGGGAGAGAAAGAGACACAGGGAAACGGGTATCACACGGCTTCATTTCAGCACTCCCCCAGAGTTGGTCTCGCCACCACCTCCCACACAAAGGCAAATATACTTAAAAACAATAATCAAAGCCAAGAGGCGCAAGCAGCTCAGGGGATGAACAATGCACCAGGATAAAGCCATTCAAAGCCCTCGGAGCCAGCAGTAGCCAGGTGCCACTGCGACCTGAAGCACTAACCCCTGGCTGAGAGCAGTGGGCAGGAGGGTTCAGTCCAGGATTGGTGGACTAAGACCCACTGCCAAAATTAGCCACCTAGGCACAGCAATAGCAGCCAGGTCAAGCAAGGACTGTAAGGGCCATGGACGCTGACTTGCGCTCTCAGTTGGAGGGCAGGTGCCAGGATTGAGGCAGACTGCTGGTCCATCCAGGGTGCCCAGACTGCATTCACTCTGCGGGTCGAGCGATCAGAGCCAACACACACATATTTGGGTCACCCCTGTTGGTGCAAGACCCCAGCACTCCCCAAAGACAAAGAAAGGCCGGTGATCCCACACCAGCCAGAGACTTCCACCCCTTCCCTCTCCTCCAGGGAGCCTGGACTTCCCGCACTTCATGCATTAAGTTCAGCAAAATGGATGGACTCAACAAAGCCGTCCTATTTGAAGTGTTAAACATAATATTGACAATGCCAAGGTATCTTCATCACCTTCCATATCAACAGCCACCTGTGCAGCCTCTTTCCATACCATGCTATTTCCCTCCATCTCAAAATCAACTCCCGCTGCTTGCTCAGGCCCCTACGCCAGACAGCTTGAGGACCGATTCTGATAACAGCCACGGAGACCCCAAGGAAACTCCACAAGCCAGGATGCAATGCTGTAGCTGGACAAGAGAGCATTCCT